CTGAGCAGGCCGCCGCCGCCCGCCCCCCGCGCAGGCCGCGGCTGCCGACCCCCAGCCCACCGCGCCGCTGCGCGCGGCGCTCCGCGGCGCGGCACTCCGCGGCGCGGCACTCCGCGGCGCGCCGGCAGCGGTGCCGCCCCCGCGGGCACGCCCGGCCGCGGCCGCGGCGGCGGAGGCCCGGCGGCGCGGCGACGTCGACGACGGCGGCGACGACGGTGACGACGACGGCCACGACGACGATGGCGACGACGAAGACAACGACGACGACGACGACGAAGGTGGCGGCGCCGCCGACGACGACGACGACGATGACGAAGGCGGCGGCGGCGCCGCCGCCGACGACGACGGCGCCGACGACGACGACGACGAGGGGGACGGCCTCAGGAAGCCCCCAGTGGTCGGCACCATCGACAGGGGTACAGAAAGAATGCCTCGAGGACCGACTCGGCGGCGAAATCCGAACCCTACCCTCGCCGATCAACGATTCGGGCAACTCGCTGTTCGGCGGGGGTGGGGTTCGGAATTCGTCGAACAGGTGGCGAAATCCGAACACTACCCCCGCCTCCCATCGATTCTGGAGAATCCCTGGTTGGTAGGGGGTAGGGTTCGGATGTCGCCACCTTCTGGCAGCAATTCCTGTTCGGTTTGAGCAGGTCTCGCCTTCGGTGCCCCCGCGGTTGTGGTCAATCGGAGGCAGACGGCCGGCTGCCGGTTTTGGGCAGTTTTGCCTTTGGGCATAGTATCCATGTTTTGCGTGCCCATGTCGGGCGTCCCAAAAACAGGAAGCCCCCAATAGGACCCCCAGGAGGGCCTCAGGACTCGAGGAACAACAATTTGCATCAGTAATGGCATTTTTCTTTCCTTTCGCTGACGGGAACAAGACGTTTTGCCTTCGGTTTGATTTCTGCATGGAGTGGAAACACAAGTCTCCTTCGATTATGTTTGCTGGCGGCTTGAAGAGGGAGAGCCCCAAGACGGCCACAGGAGGCTCCCGAGGAGGTCCGCGAGGGCTTCGATTTTCGGGCGATTGGACCTGCAGTCCTCGGACGCTGCTGGCTCCTGGAGGCTCTCCTGCCTCGCGGGGTGTGCTCCGGCGGCTGCGCCTCGCCGCGACAGCGCTCTTTGGGGGGGGTGCGCTCGGAGGGCCCCGAGCGGCCGCTGGAGGCCCGCATCACTAGCCCGATAGCCGACGTCGGGGCCGTGGGCCGACCAGCGGCGGTCTTCAGCGGCGGCGGCGGCGGCGACCTCGGCGATCTGAGCGGTGGTGGTGGCGGCGCCGGCGAGTGCGGCGGCGGCGGCGGGGCGAAGCTGACCCGTACCCAGGAGAAGGGCTCGAGAGCTCCAGGGGAAGATCCGAGCATCGGGCGTCTGGTGTGGACGTCGTCGTCGATGCTTTCTGAGCGGGGGTTCTCATCGCCACGGCTGGACTCGCCCTGGACAAGGGGCCGGGGCTTCGAGGCCTCTGGGGGCGTAGCTGGAGGTCCTCGCCACCACGGCCGGGGGTTGGAAAACGGGGTCGGCTGGGCACTGGGCGGGGCCCCTCTCCATCCGATCGCGGCGCTGCGCCTCGAGGCGCAGCCGGGGTGGGGGGGCACAGCGCAGACCCAAGAAATCCGCGCGGAGCATCACAAGTTTAATTATGTTTATGCCGTTGTTCTTCTTCTGATCACGTGTGAGGCCCTCTTTTTGTTCCCGTCGCTCGCGGACCGCCCCGCCGCGGGCGCCTGGCGGGCAGCCCATCGGACGGCGTCGGCGGCCATCGGCGGCCAGCGGCGGCCTTCGGTGGCCTCCGGCGGCCGGGCGGGCAGTGCATCGGTGGCCCGCGGCGGCCATCGGCGGCCTTCGGCGACCTCCGCAGGTCCGCGCGCAGCTCGCGGACGCGCGTGCCGCCCTGCAGCGGCGAGCCCGCGCGCGCGAGCAGGGCCGCAGCGCGCGCCTGTGCGACCTGGCCGCTGCGGCGGCGGAGGCCAAGGCCGCGCTGGCCGCGGCGCCGCCCGCGGCGCCGGCGGCGGCCCGCGGCGCGTCCGGGGCCGCGTCGTCCTCAGTGGCGGCGGCGGCGCTGCCGGGCGGGGCCGCGGGTGGGCGCTGACGCTCGACGCTTGAGGTGGGCAGAGCTTGGCGCCAGCGCTTGACGCTCGACGCTCGCCGCTCGCCGCTCGACGCTGACGCTTGAGGTGGGCATGCGCCGCAGGCCTGGCGGCCTGGAGGCTGCCCAGAGCGCGGAGGAAGCTCGAGTGGCGGCGTCGGCGCAAGCGGCGGCGGCGCCGCCGATGTGAGGCAGGGGCGCCGGCGAAAGGTGACGCTTGGCGTGGGCGACATGGGCGCGGACCTGGACAGCGCCACGAGCACTGAGAGGCGGGAGTTGGATGGCCGAGCACGGCCCTGCCAGAGTTTCGTAGCACTGAGCTGCCTGCTCGTCGCTCTGCCGGCAGGCTTCCTCTGCGCAGGCTCGCTCTGCTAGCAGTGAAGTATCGTGCTCCCTCTGCGCAGTCTCGTCGCTCTGCCAGCAGGCGGCAGCGAATGCTGGTTACGCTCGTGGTTGGACTTCCCGTGAACCTGGCGCGAAACATTGTCGGTTGCGGATCATGCTTGTTGCGCTGCTGTTGAACGTGGTTCTTCTCCAGCTGGTGGGTGCGTAAGTTGACTTTCGTCCGCGCCTAGGGCCAATTCGGCTTCGGTGCGCAATGGAACATGACATGTACATTCTATGAATGGCACCATAGTGACAGTCTAGAGTCTAGGCCAACTTGTCCCTGTTCCCACCCAATCCGCAGAGGTTAGAGATGGCAAGCTCCAGTCATTGTAGCAAGAATTCGGTCTACTAGTGGAATCACATCTTCGTGTTCGGTGGTTGATGTTCGGAGGCGCTGTGAACCCAAATAGTTGGTAGGAACATTACAGCTTACCTGTCACTGTCTGGTGTTTCTCAGCGCAGCATGTTGGACAATGATGGGGGCGTTGGATCATTTGAGCTTGGACAGATGGTCAGTGCTTCTCAGCGCAGTCTGCTGTGACCGCCCCGGCTTTCAGCAGCATTCGTAGCGCGACGTTCGCTTCTCTGAGACTTGGCGCACCGCAGTTCCCCGAATGATTCTCGAGGCTCACAGAGGCCCATCTGGACCCCGAAACGCCCCCCCCCAACTACAGAGCAATCCGAATTCCAAACGACCGCGATCCTCGAAGCTCGAAGCTCGGTTCTCGACCGACGGCGGCGGCGGCGGCGGCCTCCAACGATGGCCAGATGCCCCCCGAGCGGCCCGGCCAGGGCCGCCCCTCGGGGCGGAGGAGCCGGGGCAGGCTCGTTGATCGTGGGCCTCTTCTGCGCCGGAGATGATCTGACGAGCGCGTATGCTGTAATGTCCTCACAGAGGTGGCTGGTGGTCGAGGAGCCGGTGCTTTTGCTGCTTCTGGGGCGGCCGCCCCATTGCCGCGCCTGGAAGTTCTGGCCCGATGGCTTCCCAGGGTGGGCTTCAGTCAGCCCGCGTTACAAGGATGGGCAACCTTCCCAAGGGCACCCTTCCATCCGTGCCTCCTCGGCCCATCCTTGGCCACTTTCGTTGGCCGCGCCCCGCTCGGAAAGCTTTGGAATGGGCGTCCAAGGCCCTGGCGTGTTATCGCGCATCCCTACTATACGGGTTGACTGCACAGCTCTGGCGCACGATGTTGGAATGTCCTCACGGAGGTGGCCGCTGATCGAGGATCCGGTGGTTCTGCTGTTTTTGGGGGCGGCCGCCCCGTTCTGGCCCGATGGATTCCCAGGGTGGG